TATTGGCCCAATGTGTGTTCAATATCGTGTAGAAGTATACCTTTTATATCTTCATTATTACGAATCATGATACTGAGAATTTCAGCTACGAAAAGAAACAAATAGGGAGAAATTGGGTCACCCTGTCTACAACCTCTTTCATTCATGAAAAATTTAGAGAGGTAGCCATTTTGGACAATACAAGAAGAGGCATTAGATATGAGTATATGTATCCATTTAATCCTATTTGGCCCAAAGCCAAATTTTTCCAGAACGAGGAAAATAAAATCTTTATTCACGGTGTCGAACGCTTTCTCAAAATCAATGAGTATCAACGTACCTTTTTTGTCAAGTCTCTTAGTTTCAAATATGATATCGTAAAGTAATCTAGTATTTTCACTTAAACATCTCCCAGGGATAAATCCTGATTGATTACAATGAATTAATTTGTTTAAAAATTGCTTGATTCTATTAGTAATACAAGAGCTTTAAATCTTATATACAGCATTTAATAAAGTAATGGGACGCCAATTTTTTAATCTTTTTCTATCTTTATTTGCTTTTGGAATGCAAGTAATCACGCCCCAGTTCATAGTAGAAGTCAAAGAGTTAGAGTGGTAAGCGTGATTAAAGTATCTCCATATCCAGACTCTTAAATTTTTCCAGAAAAATTTAAAGAAGTCAATTGGGAAGCCATCAAGACCTGGGCTCTTATTATTTTTCATTGCAAGTGTAGCTTTACCAATTTCGTTTAAGGATAACGGCTGTTCAAAGGCCTGTTGCATATCAATCTCTAATTTTGGAATTGGAATATTGTTTAACATCAGGCTTGGGTCAGTATCTACTAAACTATTTTTTTGGTACAAGTTTCTATAAAATGATTCTTGTTCTTTAATGATGAGAGTTGTATCATTCAGTTCCTCACCTTCACTATTAATCAAAGAGGAGATGATATTATTTGTAAAAATTCTATTTTCAAGACGACAAAAGTATTTAGTTGGTTTCTCTCCCTCCTCATACCATTTATCTTGCTTTCTTCTTCTTTAAGTTTTTCATAATCCTTTTTTGATTCAGATAATTTACTTAAAGCCTCTTCAGAAATATTTTGAAAATCCTCTCTAATTTTATTTTCATATTGGTTTATTTCTTTTTCTAAATCGCCCAATTTCTTTCCACTTTTCTTTTTCAAATATGAGGAAAAAGAAATTGTTTTACCTCGCAAATTCATTAAAAAGGTTTCCAAGAATAGGGAATCAGGTATATTTAGTTTTAAATCCAAATCATCAAAAGGAGCAGAATGGTCTGATCTATAAGATGGATGCACATATTGTTGTTTTGTTTCATCTAAAATAGTCGTAACCATATCCACATATTGTTTATTTCTTAAAAGGGAAGTGTTAAATTTAAAATATCCACGGCCCCTATTATTTATCAGAGAATCATTTAGGCATAAAGAAATAGCCGAATGGTCAGATTTATAACCTGGGAGAATGTCAGCAGCAGAGGATAGGTTTAAAATATCTTCACTAACCAGAAAAAAGTCTAGCCTAGCTTGCTGTCTGGGTTTATGTTTCCACCATGTAAATTTTCTAACAGCTGCATTCTGTTCACGCCAAACATCATATAGGTTAAACTGAGATAAATAGTCTAGAACCGTTTTTCTAGTATTTGGGTTGTTAATATTTTTATAGTTTTCCAGATCTAGAGATTGATCAAGAATGAGGTTCCAATCCCCACAAATTATAATCGCTTCATTATCAAGTCCATCAATGGCATTAAAGATATCATGATAAAATTTTGGGAGATCAGAATTAGGCCCATATAAAGTAGCTAAGGTCAATCTTATTCCTTTAATGGTTATATCAGCAATTATAAAATTTCCACCATCATCTATCATAACCTTATGAATAGACATTTCGACGGAATTAAAGAGAATAGCCACCCCGCGGGCTTTAGACCATAAGTTGCTTTCATTTCATCGAAAGTTTCTTTTGGTGTGTGACCTTTCAAATATAAAAACCTAATCACATGTGAAATTTCAACCAAATATGATAACCCTAAGTGGTTTAGGGGAAATCTTTAATGAACACCCCTCGTACATTCTTAACGTAATCGACATTGACTTGCGATGATTGCATTTTACTCCAAAAAGTCCATGTGACTTATTTATATCAGACATAGAACCTAATTGATGAACAAAGTTATCATTGATGATGACAGTTCATACTTATTGATATGATTGGTGAACATAGTTAATAGTTATGGAAGGGATTGATATGATAGAGACAGTGAGAGAGTGAACTCTGAGTGAAGTGAACTGATCTCACTGTCAGCCACCCCTAAAAGTGGAATACCCAAGTTAATTCTTCTATTACAAAGAAGACACAATTTATGGATAACAAGTTCTTTATTTATTGTAAAGGTGACTTTTCGGTACAGAACCATATACTGTTGACCTTTGTTGACAACATACTGTTTTGGTATAGATCCTATATTGTTGTCTTTGCTTGACAACGGTATAAAGATCTATACTGAAATGTTGCCTTTACAGTAAATACAGAAGTTCTTCTGTTCTACACATGGCTGAACATGTTGTTTTAACAAATGTTATGAAAGTTGGGGTAAACTGGTTGAGCCCGCCCTGTATAGCTTTGTATGGAGCTGTATCTCTTCTTTATACTCTGCACACCGTATAGTCGATAATTGTACACAATGCAATCAACGTGAAACGCTGTCATGTAGCTGCATCATAATGTTTTATTTTGATCTCTGTGATTGGTCCATGTCACCAGCAGTAGCCAATCATATTTCAAGATGTGTATTTCCATGACATAGGCAAAACAAGTCTGGATGGCCATGATGCAAAAGCTGCCATCAGTGAAATAACAGGCCAGAATACTTTCATTTTGTTTTTAGAAACAAAATGCAAATAATGATCAATTTGAAACAGATAATTCTTAGAAAATGCCAGTTGATATGTTGCAAGCTAGTCTGCCAAGTGAGGACCCCAAAACATAGTATGCATCAAGCATGTTTCAAAGGAATAGGTGTGAACCTTACCTGGCTTATACTGTCAGACGAAAATTGTATGTTGTGTATCATGTATATTATCAGCAGTGACCCATCAGATTTTCTAAATGGCCCACTTTTCAGTCCAGAATGAATTCATCTGAATCTTTACAAATTCTTCTACATGAAATGTAGTCAAGGACAATCTTTGTGGTGAAACATGGTTTCATCATTCAATCCCAGTTTCTGTAGCATTAACTTGCATAATCCTGAGACTTGGTCATTGTTGGATCTTAAGAAGTAGTCTTGGTTAAGGTCATGGTTGACCGCCTCCATGGTTTAGTGGGTAGAGCAAATGCCTGGGGTGGGCAAGGTCCTGGGTTCGATCCCTGGCCGCATCATACCAAAAGATATTAATAGATGGTACTTGTTGTAATCCTGCCTGGCACTCAGCATTAAGGGGCTAAAACAAGGACTGGTAGTCTCGGAGCCAGTATACTGTGTCTGAGTAGGTATTCATGTTAAACTGCAGCATGGCATCTCAGTGTGCTATCACTATAAAATCGGCGTTAGTCCGGACTAGTACAAGCAGCCACACACAAACACGTGCATACACATCGACATATAAGTGCAATTATCTTAGACATGATGTTAAAACCCATTTCACCTCACCTAAGCTCATGGTCTGGAAGTAATACAGGGAATTATCTAGACCTGCTCAGGGGCTCAGGTCTGCAAGAATTAAACAAAGTACCCAGTTCATGTTGTTATGGTTATTAAGATGGTCTTGGTCAAGGTGAGTTCAACTTCACTGAAAACAGGACCAATAAAGAGGAAGAGACTTAAATGCTTAATTTTACATTATTGCATTGAATGCAATGTTAAAATAACTCTGAAATTAAGAAGATGAAAGCTTCTAAGAACAAAATATGCCTGCCAGGGGCACTTACTTTCAAATCATAGATAAATCCCCAGTATTGTTTTTGAACTGGATGTACATGGTATTTTAAGATTAGGGAGCTTTTAGGAAACAGTGCTGAAGAGGTTGACTCTTGCAAGTACTTTAGATTAATTAATGATAAAATTAATTGATTATACACTTCGAGTTGATTTAGCAGGAGGTGTGGGACTTTCTGTTTGTCATGGTTGTATGTTACGGGTTTGGGATATTAATGAAACGTCAGGAAATGGAGTGCCCTCCAGTTTCTTGTTATCTGTCATACATTATAATCAGATTTCAGTTCTCCCTACCGCTAAACAAATATCTGAGGACATCTCAATACACATCACATCACAATGACCTTTCGTCGGACCAATCAAAACGTTGCTTACTAGATTGGGAAAATGACAGTCAAAAGGGTTAACAAAGGGTATTCCAAACAACAGTTACAGGCTGTGATGATTCCGTTGAAATCATTGTCTCTCTCCCGATTCAATGGGGAAAAACATTTGGAATGGAAGAGATTCTCCATGGCCAGTGTGAAGCACTACTATACAACCACGGCCATCTATTACACATGCCAGAATTTTCTTTGGTTCACTTTTCAAATTTTGAATCAAGATCATTGTCAAAATAGTTTTCAAAGTGTAGTCTGGAATGGAATCGCCAGTTTAAGACTAGTGCTGTAAAGCTAGAGAAAGCTACTTTCTGATTGGCTATTGTCAAATCATTTCATTGGTCAGTAAAGGTTCATTAAAGGTTGTTCTGAAGTGACCTGTAATGGGATGTCCTCACATCTACGTGTAGCGGGTGCAAGAACTAAGATCTGATTTTAATGAGATTGTCTTCTCCTTGTTACAGCCTTGAAAACTTTGAGAACACAGCTGGCTTCCTTAGAGTTTGCAGTGGACTCCTTGGTTGTTACTGGTTGCATTGGATTGATTTGGCCCTGGAACCAACAATGCAGATATATGATTAGGCCTGGTTTATCTGGACCAGTGTAAACAGGTGTTGTTGCATTTGCTGCAAAGTGTCCGTGAAATCTCATGTTCCGGGGGTTGTTCCTTTTCAGGCCATCGAGTGATTTGACTCCAGAAAACATGGAACTGCTTGAGTTTGGTGCTCACTTCCCTTCCTTTGATGCTGAAGGATGCAGTTTTCTCACCATCAAAGATGAAGATGGTAATAATCAATCTTTTTGTTAAAGGTGCCAATTCTTTATGATTTAGGCAGACATGCTACTAAATATGACCATGAATTATGCCATTATGAATGCTTATTTATAAAATTATAAAATGTTAAGAGTAAGCAAGTCACCAAAATCCTTACTTACCATCAATCAATACTTATACACTTAAGAAATCAGGGAATGATAAATTTCATGCATTTTTGGTGCTTGTAAATGATTGTCAAATACGTGGTGACACAAAAATCATTGTTGTCAGATTTTATGATGTTGGAAAGCTATTGTGTTAATATAACTTCTTCACTAATGTTGCCTTATTCTTCTTGCGAATCATCTACCTCTATTACATCTTTGCCATAAATCCTGTATTTTGGCTTCATTCACACTAACTCAGATTTTCAGCAGACGACCTCTTCACTGTCAATCACACACAATTAGATGTTCCCAATATAGCACTATAGCAACCCAAGCGTGTGTAATGACGAGAATCCTCACTTCTTTCCTGTGTGTGCTAGAGTCATCACCTATTGTTATAGTTGTAACGATTTAGCACTTGGTAGTAGTTACATTAATCTAAGATTGTTCTTATAGTTATGTAAAACAGACACAATAAGTCTATATTAATAGCTGCTAATTGTAGTGACGATCATACTCACGTAAGTTTTAAGCTGGTGTGAGGTGTTTGTGAGGTCATGGAATCTCCCTCTACTCCTATATATACTTGCAAGAAGTGTTGTCATTTTATGATCACGGGAGATCCTCATAACAACTGCTGGAAGTGCAGAGAAGCAAAATGCACAGATGAGGCAAGATGCGACCAATGCTCAACTCTATCTAACAAAGCCTTCACCAAGCTGTGCCTCCAGGCCTACCATAAAAACCAACAGAAGGCTCCCAAACTATGGAATATAAACACCCTTTAAATAGAAATAGCCACACAAATTACAAATATACTCAACAACAAATGTTCCTGTGACACCAATATTTAAGTGTATTTTTCAAACAAGTAAAGTTTTGTTTTCAATTTTGTAGTACATGTATGGAATCAAGTCACAAAAACGCAACTGCTACAGAAAAGCATACATTCCATGCAAAAGTTGACTTTTATGCATGCCCCATGCATTTCACTATCCAAGAATGGGTATAAAAACGTGAGTTAACGGGATTCCATATGCATTGTTTAGCATCGTGCTGACGACAACCACTCAGAAAAACAACAAAATTACGCAATTATTCAAAATTACGAAATACCAAGCCTGTCCGAAAATGAGCGTCTGTGAGCCATTGGTATGCTTGTAGCAGTATCGAGTCAATGTAATGTTGCAAGACAATTTAACGTTCACAGAAACACCATTTGGTGTCTATGGCAACGTTGGCAACAGACGAATGCAGTCAGAGACCATCCTCGGAGTGGCAGGCCACGCATAACCAAAAATCGACAAGACAACTGGATTTGAACAACACACCTACGAAATCAATTCCAGCCAGCAACAGTGACTGCAAGAAGCATCCCTGGCCTTCGAAGAATATCTTCACAAACCGTACATCGTCGCCTCAGATGTGCAGGGATTGTCGCCAGAAGACCCGCCAGATATCCCATTTTGACAGGAAACCACCGTCAGGCATGTCTACAGCGGTGCAGACAGCGTCTATGCTGGACGGCCATGCAGTGGGGACAAGTTCTATTCACTGACGAGTCTATTTTCAGCTCAGCCACAGTGATGGACGGATTCGAGTGTACCAATGTCGAGGTGAACGTTACATCAATCATTGTGTCATGGAAGAAGATCGGTTCGGGGGCAGCAGCGTTATGGTATTGGGTGGGATTACAGCAAGACAGGGGACCCGTTTGATGGTTGTAGAGGGAAATCTCAACGGACAGCACTACCGCGACAAGATCATCGGCCCTGTTCTACCGTTTTTGCGTCGTCATGGCCCAGGCATTACCTTTCAACATGACAATGCCCGGCCTCATATTGCTTGACTTGTTCGGATTCTCTTCAACAAAACAACGTTAATGTCATCTGGCCGGCTCGCTCCCCTGATCTCTCACTAATCGAGCACATGTGGGATGAGATGGATCGGCGCCTTCGACGTCAACCACATGTTCCCCAGCCACTCCAGGAACTTTGAAACATGCTCCAGCAGATATGGACAGATATTCCACAGGACTTTGTGCGACGCGTGGTCCATTCCCTGAGATGAAGATCGCAACCAGAGGTGGACACGCACGCTATTGATTTGTAAATTGACATTTTGGCATGTTCGTTTTTTTATTAAATCACGCATTTTCCGAAGTCAGTATGGCAAATTAAACCATTTGAACACTAACAGGAATCTTTTATATGTTGCAAACCAAAAATGTTTCAGATTTGGTAAAATACATAACTTTGCATTAAATCAATGTCACAGGAACTTTTGTTGTTCAGTATAATTCACAACCCCATAAAGTTTGCACCGTAATGATAAGAATCTAGCACATTTTCAATGGAAACTGATAGAGTTAGTTGTTGTTATGCAGGTGTTGTGCTACCTGTTGATGGAGTTTTTGTTGTTGTGCAGGTGTTGTGCTACCTGTTGATGGAGTTAAGTGTTGTTATGCAGGTGTTGTGCAACCTGTTGATGGAGTTAGTTGTTGTTATGCAGGTGTTGTGCAACCTGTTGATGGAGTTAGTTGTTGTTATGCAGGTGTTGTGCAACCTGTTGATAGAGTTAGTTGTCGTTATGCAGGTGTTGTGCTACCTGTTGATGGAGTTAGTTGTTGTTATGCAGGTGTTGTGCAACCTGTTGATAGAGTTAGTTGTTGTTATGCAGGTGTTGTGCTACCTGTTGATGGAGTTAGTTGTTATCCAGGTGTTGTGCAACCTGTTGATGGAGTTAGTTGTTGTTATGCAGGTGTTGTGCAACCTGTTGATGGAGTTTTTGTTGTTGTGCAGGTGTTGTGTTGCCCGCTGATGGAGTTGTTTTGCGGGTGTTGTGCTACCTGTTGATGGAATTGTTGTTGTGCAGGTGTTGTGCTGCCTGTTGCTGAAGACCAGCAGCCATGTCAGACCCTGGCTGACATTGAGGGCGGTGAGGACATCGTGGTCATGTCCTGTAGTGACAAGCTGCTCCGCTGGAACATCCTGGGACTACAGGGAGCACTGTTCTCTCACTTCCTACAACCTGTCTACCTTTCTTCAATCATAGTAGGTATGTCAACAACCGGCAACTTAAACCCCACTCTTGCTCATCTTATGTCAACCAGTAAGTAATAGTTCTACTGAAGAATTTCTATGTGTGTTGCCTAGTTTCTTTATTTTGATATGCAACGTAGTCCTGCCAAATATTCATTGACCATACATGTATCTCATTCTGTAGGCTTGACCATTATCAGTCAAACAGCCGAAATCCAAAACGAGGCTTTACCCACATGCTGTTGTACTATGACATCATGGCCCCCGAACACTGCTGTGTGTCTCTATGTGTGTCGGATGAATGTTGTGCCTTATCATGCAATTTCCACAGCCTCCATAAGGATGCCGGTCTATTGAAACTTTGAATAGTAGGTATTCAACGTGATGAAGGACCCTTTTGTATGGAAGGTGAACATTTTCATTCAACATGTTACAGAAGATCACTTGCAACTGTCAACTGTCAAATGGTCCATATGAGCATATAATTCACACAAATTGATAAAAGAAGTAGTATAGGGAATGACAGTTCTGGCTCACTGCAACCTAGGCCAGATTCATTCCCCAATAATTCTACTACAGAGGTAATTTATTATACAAACGCCACAATGCGATCCAATGATCGTCATTGATTGTTTTAAAGAAAGATTAATATTAATTAATAATGGATAAAATTTACTAAATTTACTATTTACTGAGGATATTGGAAAGGTATAGGGGCAATACAAAAACTAGCTGCAGCAGCTAAGGTATCTAAAGATGTTGCCAAGGGTTTGTTAAGGAAACAAGCAATATGTCAAATATACTTACCAGCCCCATGTTATATACTGAGGAAGAAGTTTCATATTCTAACAACAAAGAAGTTCATCAGGCTCACCTCTTGTTTCTTCCTCATAATAAGGTAAGACGCAAAATGTATAAATACACTTTAACCGTAGTATACTCACATGCAAAAGAAACGCAAGTCAAGTATGCAGTATACATGTTTTTTATTTTCAACAGTAAAGACAAGAAATACTAATACGGCAAGATTGACAAAAATTTGACTGAAGACAGTTTAATGGATTAAAAGGCAGATGACATAATTGTTTTTTTCAAATGTTAAGGGCTTACACAGTTTCGGGTCAATACCCAAAATGTCAGTCAATACCTGGTGTGACCACCATTAGCATTGATCACTGCCACACATCTCCTGTACATTGAGTGGATCAGGCCCTAGGGATCCTCCTGCACACATCCAGAGCACCTGTGCATAGTACATCGGCAGTTGTAGGGACTGGGCGCACATTGTGCAGACGCCTTTGAACCTCATCCCACAAGTGTTCGATAGGGTTCAGATCAGGGCTGAGGGCCGGCCACGGTAGAACACGGATGTTGTGTTGTTGCAGAAAGGCCATGGTAGCTCTGGAAACATGGGGACGAGCGTTGTCCTGCTGGAAAATGTGTTGTTGATGTTGTGCAATAAATGGAACAACGTGGGGTCTGATCACTTGGTCGATATACTGCTGAGCAGTGACGCCATGTCCCCGACCTTGACCAGCATTCAAAAAGCACATGGGTCCAAGTCTCGCATTAAGTCCAATCCCTGCCCATACCATGACGCTAGGTCCACCCCATGGATCCCTTTCCACAACGTTTCTGTCAGCAAAACGATCACCACGCCGCCGCCAAATTCTGACTCTTCCGTCTGCATGGGAGACACAAAAGCGACTTTCATTAGAGAAGATGACACGCCTCCACTCACGATGACGCCAATTGTGATGACCCTGTGCACACTGAAGTCATGCTTGTCGATGCCGTGGTTGGAGAACAGGACGACGTGCTGGTCGGCGACATCTGAGGTTGTTGGAACGGAGACGTTGGATCACTGTGTCCCGTCTAATGTGTCAATTATGTGTTTCTATGGTCTGTCGAGCACTTTCACTTGCAGTTAGGAACAGATTTCACTGGTGTTGACAGGTAATCTGCTGATCTTGTCGAGGTGTGGTGACCCTAGGACGACCGCTCCGAGGAAGGTCATCTGTGGTCTGTGTAGCATTGTATCGATGCAGGAGACGGTAAATTGTGGTTATGTTAACGTTGAAATGACGGGCAACATCTTGGACAGACTCTCTAGCTTCCAAACGTCCGATAGCCTGGTTTCTCTGAATTTGAGTTAGGCGTAGAATTGTTGACCAAGGAGTGGTAGGTCCAAGAATCGGCCACAGTTTTATACCCACTACAGTTCGTGACAGTTCGTGCATTTTCGATTTCGCAGGAAATTGGTGCATGATACTCACATATTCATTGAAATGGTGCGTTTTGGCGATGGGGCTTCCAAAATGCAACCAAAAATATTAATAACACCATCAGGCTTCACTACATGCTAAAACTCGTATCAATTTATGGTTCCATGTTTGTTACCTATTTGCTTAAAACCACTTTTGCCTGTGAGTATATGTGGCTAGTTGCTACAAGGAGGCTGAGCCATTAACCTCAAAAGATACAACAGAAGTAGCTAATGCACTAGGTCACATATATAAACACAGGCTATCAATGAAATTTTAACCGCTAGCTAGTATTTTATACAATTTAAATCATCTAACGGATTACTACTCATTAATTTTGCTAGATACGATGGGTTTAACATCATTAACATCTATTTTGGAATTAATATCCATCTTCCAAACTCTTAGATATTTGCCAAAACTGGCTGTGGGTTCAAATCTTAACTCAACTGGTTGATTATTATTATCAACAACTGGTTGATTATTATTCAGTAAACACGGATTCTCCCCAACCTATTCCTCTCATTGATGTAATCCCTCTTCCTAGCGTAAATAATCTGGTTTGTCGGCCCCTTACATCTTGCATAAACAGTAATGACCTTTGACCCCTATCCTGCATACAGAACATATGTAGTTAATATTTCCCTGCCTAAGGGATTAAGAATGAAAACCGCAGTATAGACCGACACACCTCTTGGCACAGTTTAGTGGCTTCCCAATGAGCGTAAATCGACACCGGTTTAACATCATGGTTGTTATACAACTATCGTATCATTTGTCTAAATGCAAATTAGACCAAGCTGAGGCATCGCTGCTATTAATAGCATAGCTAAGAATAGCCACGGTTGACAATCCCAGCACTATTAACTCTATCTCGCGGTCTTTCTTTTCTTCTGATGGTGTATAAAACTGAGTGAGTGTTGGCTTTGTGCCATTTGGATCAAGTGTCTTCCCGTAAACAAGGAAGTATTCAGGCATGGCTGTTTCAAAATCCTTAAACGTTTGAATAGAATGATTTTGTTTACGAAGTTCTTCATTGATAAAATCAAGCCTCTGCATTCTTTTCCTGGTCCATTGTGATTGGACTGTTTCGAGTTGTTCTAATGCTTAAATGTGTTGTTTATGCTCCTCTCCTCACATAGAAGAGAATAAAAAATTACTCCCCGAAAAAGCTAGAGCATTAACAATAGCTCCACCGACCAGTGCTGTGACAGTGCTGCGACACCTTCAACAGTGGTTTTGTTGCTGTACAGGGCTGCCACACTTTTGACAGTGGCTTTTTTGCTGTACAATGCTGCCACACCTTCTACGGTGGCTTTGTTGCTGTATAGTGCTGCCACACCTTCTACAGTGACTTTGTTGCTGTACAGTGCTGCCACACCTTCTACAGTGGCTTTGTTGCTGTACAATGCTGCAACACCTTCTACGGTGGCTTTGTTGCTGTACAGTGCTGCCACACCTTCTACAGTGGCTTTGTTGCTGTACAGTGCTGCCACACCTTCTACAGTGGCTTTGTTGCTCTACAGTGCTGCCACACCTTCTACAGTGGCTTTGAGGCTGTACAGTGCTGCCACACCTTCTACGGTGGCTTTGATGCTGTACAGTGCTGCCACACCTTCTACGGTGGCTTTTTTGCTGTACAGTGCTGCCACACCTTCTACGGTGGCTTTGAGGCTGTACGGTGCTGCCACACATTCTACAGTGGCTTTGTTGCTGTACAGTGCTGCCACACCTTCTACGGTGGCTTTGTTGCTGTACAGTGCTGCCACACCTTCTACAGTGGCTTTGAGGCTGTACAGTGCTGCCACACCTTCTACGGTGGCTTTGTTGCTGTACAGTGCTGCGACACATTCTACAATGGCTTTGTTGCTGTACAGTGCTGCCACACCTTCTACAGTGGCTTTGAGGCTGTACAGTGCTGCCACACCTTCTACGGTGGCTTTGTTGCTGTACAGTGCTGCCACACCTTCTACGGTGGCTTTGAGGCTGTACAGTGCTGCCACACCTTCTACAGTGGCTTTGTTGCTGTACAATGCTGCCACACATCTACGGTGGCTTTGTTGCTGTACAGTGCTGCCACACCTTCTACAGTGGCTTTGAGGCTGTACAGTGCTGCGACACCTTCTACGGTGGCTTTGTTGCTGTACAGTGCTGCGACACCTTCTACGGTGGCTTTGTTCCTGTACAGTGCTGCCACACTGTCATAGAGTAACAGTTTAAAACAATAAGCCACTCCCCGAGATTTTCACTTAAGCGGGGGCACGGGTGGCCCAGTCGTCTAAGGCGCCGCGATTCGCTGTGCAGAGTTGTGTCCCTTGGGCACGCCAGAAATCTATGATTGTGGGTTCGAATCCCGGTTCGCCCCGATTATGTTTCTAGGTTTGTCAGCACCATACCCGTGCTCGTGGGTTTCACCGAAGTGGTAAACGTCTAAGACCTGCATCACTTCGGGCTTTCCTCCCACATTAAGCTGACACGCCGTGATATGACTGGAATACTGTTAAAAGCGGCGTTAAACCCAACTCACTCACACTCACTCCACTTAAGCATAAGAACTGCTCCCTTAAAAGGGAATTCTGGGAACCTTGATCTGGCTGCTTCCTCCATGAATGTAAACACTCAAGAAGAGTAAATGTACATCTTGATTATCCCTCTAATACTGGGTTGTCTTGTTGATGATATGACTGTTTGTAGTCTGGGGTTACCACATATATTGGCGACGAGGTCAATTTAGTGCGTTTGTCGTGCCGGC